AGTCTAAAGCTGTCATGTGGAAATTTAAAATGTTATGTCGAAAACCATGTGAAAAACCTGTTTCATGTCAGAGAAATTTAATATGTAATTCGCAGTATAATACTACGTTTTGTGGAGTTGTCTAATATGTAATTCGCAGTATTATACTACGTTTTACGGAGTTGTCATTTCGTTCTGAAAAAGCTGAAAAGCATGTTGAATACTGCGAATTTGTGTCAGAGAAATTTAATAAGTAATTCGTACTCCAATACTACGTTTTATTGAGTTGTCATTTCGTTCTGAAAAAGCTGAAAAGCATGTGAAAACCCTGTTTCGTGGAGTTGTCATGTCTATGTAATTCGTAGTATAATACTACGTTTTGTGGAGTTGTCATGTTTGTAATTCGCAGTATAATACTACGATCTATTTGATATCTTGCCTATAAATAACAAGCACGTTCGAGTTATTTTCTACGCTTCAAAAGAACCTATAATCGAGATTTTCCATAAAACCAAACTTCTCTTTAAGAAATGTCTGTACGACCCTTTCGTTGCCCAAAGTGCGAATGTGGAAACAAAAGCATGATGTACGATGAATGGGAAGAAGCTGGACGCCGCTACTGGGCGTGCATGAACAAGTTTTATAGGCAACCCGACGTACCTATATGCAATTTTAAGGTATGGGTTGATGAACCATGTCAGCAGGAATACTACAAAGACCAGGTGTATCATCTTCAAGATGTGTGTAATGGGCAGTGGGACAGACAGCGCCAATCGAAACAAGAAATTGAAGAGTTGAAGGCGAAGATCAAGGAGGTGGAAGAAGAGAAAAAGAAATTGGAAAGAAAGCTCGAGAGGATTAAGGAGAGAATACTAGGCGGTCGTAACTAAGCGATGACATTTACGTGTTGTGTGTTGTAGTGTATCTTCATGTTTCTGTTGTGTCAAGTGCTTTCATTAGTTGTACTGTTTGTTTATGTGTTAGGTTTGTAAGGTTTGTGTTTGAGTTGTATTGTTTAAGTAAAATTGCTGTTCAAACGCAATTAAAATAAAATTGTTGTCAAAAGATAGTTGTTACTATTATTTACATAAAGCACTATTTACACAAATTTAATACATAAGCAAATCAGTGAGTGCCGCAGCCTGTGTGCTTCAGTGCTGCTGCTGGCCTAAGTCGCATCCCCTGTCGCCCGGGCACACTATCTGGATCATCATCATCAAGCCGCCTCTTTATGTGAGGATGTGCAGCAGCATCAACACCACAACTGGCAGGGTCGGAAGAATAGGCCGTCGGGCCGTGAGTAACCTACAAAACAAGAAGTAATCTTAGCATGTATGAATGTATTATTTTATGAAAATGTATTATTATCTTAACCTACAGAATGTACTATTATTTTAAGTAAGAAAATATTTTCTCACCATGGTCTCGTCGACCTCCTGGGTATATGTATCGATGGTGTGCTCATCACCGCATGTAGTGTCCTCAAAGATGGGCTGAGACGAAGACTGCATAAGAAAGTTACAATTAATTAATGGCAGCGATTTAAGGAAAAGAAAACAAATTGAAATATTAAAGTCATACAAACATACCGCATGAACTGCCGGGGACGATGGATAACTCAACCTGCGCCCGCCATCCACGTCCCGGGCAGGCCGACCCTCAGCTGCGGTAGATGTGCATGCGAAGTACTGATCTACATCCCCGTCGAATGTACCCATGATCGACAATGCTCCTGACGGGGTGACCTGCGATGCTGGCAAAGATAGCTGAAGGCTATATGAAGGCATGCTGCTGGAAGGCTCATCTGCATGAGGGATATAACCCTGCTGGTCATCTCCAAAGCCCCCAACTCCGAACTCCTCGTCATGTGCATCGGCAGGTGGGTCGACAGGTACCTCAACGCCCCCTTGCTGGCCACCTCCTCGCCGTCCCCTGCGACCCCGTGGGGCAGCCCTGCCTGGTGGGGGTCCCCTCGCTGGTGCCCTACCCCTGGCTCGTGGGACTGGCCTACCCCTCTGGTAGGCCCCTGGAGCCACATACTGAGGCTCATGGTCTAACCTCTCGGCATCTCTCGCCTGCAACAGTGTCAGACGAGCCATCTGGGCCATCTCCCGGCCATACTCAACCACTTCAGGGATGTCCGAACGCTGCTGCATCTCCTGTCCCGACTGGTAGATGCGATGAAGCCCAATAGCCTGTGAAACATTTCAAATAGTAATTAAATAACTCTATATCACAATTATAAGATATTAATAAGTCACAAAAACATACCAGTGCCTCATGCCTCCCGGCGTACGGTCTGTAGCGCTCGCCAAGTACATGCACGGGGTTCCCGATCATCAATCGGGTATGGCGGCGGTACCACCCATCATACAGCTGAATAGAGGCCTCCTGGAAAACTGTAGGTGGTAGCGGGATGCGCTCAGCTCGGTCCTCCCAATAAGCTATCTGCTGCTGTAGCCACCCAACATACTGTCGGTCCATGTTCGAACGGTCGTCCCGCTGATAGTGAGTAGGCTCCCATCCAGGCTCCCTCGGTATAGCCTGAGGACGGCCAAACTGTCGAAGCACACGCTCCGTGGCATGATACTCAACAAAATCCCAGAAGATCAACGGGACGGAGGTGCTCCAAATCAACCGGTCGACTGAGCAACAAGCGGGTAGGTGACCAAGCAACTCGATGCTGTATGGCGTCCAGATGAACTACCAATAGTAACATAAAAATGAGTACGCAAAACACAACTCAATTTAAAACAACCAAGTATAGGTACATATTTACCTGTCCGTCCACCAACATATCTAACACATCCCTAAGAAGGGGGAGATTATGGTGAGCATCCGTCCCTCGGTAGTTCCCACGCCGGAGAATCCACCTGATAGCTAGAGGGAGAAACGGATAATCCTGACCGGGCGGAAGTACTGGTAGAGGTGGCTGCAACGGCATGATCCGCTGCCAGGCCCAAACCTAAGATAAAATGTTGATGTAAATTTATGAGTCATTTCACGATATAGAATTTGGGGTAACAAACAATGTATTCGGAAATTTTTTGCACCTGAAGGAGGGGCAGAAAACCACATATATCAACCGCTGGACCTACGCTCGCGCGGCACATGCTCCTATAGAGATACGCCAGAACAGTAGCACCCCAGCTGTACTGGGGTAGCTCATCCAGCTGCTCAAGACAATGAAGAAAGCGCATACTCACTTTGTTCCCCGAGGTGTCCGGAAACAAGACACACCCGAAAAGCAGGAGCAACGCCAACCGAGTGTACCGCTGAATCCAAAGATGCTCTGTCTCGTGGGTAATATCTGGGTGCAATACCGCCATCTGATCTCTAATGAATGATAAAGCCACGCGACTGCCACCCCGGTCACCCTGCGGTCTCGAACCAGTCAACTGCCCCATCATGTCCGCCAACTGTGCACGTGTCATCCCTCTCCAGTGGTGGGGCAGTGCGAAGGCGCGCCCCTCTACGCGCAGTCCATATAAAACCTGGACATCCTGCAGCGTGATAGTAGCCTCTCCAGTGGGCAAGTGAAATGTATGCGTCTCCGGTCGCCACCGCTCTACCAAGGACGTGATGAGCGACCAATCAAGCTGCATCCGTCCAAGCTGAAAAATGGTATATAATCCCGAAGTCTGGAGGATCTCTACTACGCGCAGATGGAAACGATGCTCCGCAATAAACTCCCACAAATCATCAGGCCTCCTGGGGCGGAGAGGCTGCATCGCTAGCTGTCCCTCCCAAACATAGGATGACCTATGGTCGCCCTGCAGCACTAGTAGCTGATCCTCGGCAGGTCCAGGATGCGCAGGCGGAGGAAACGCCATGTCGTCTACTATAATTTAAACAAAATTAATTGTTTGTGTTAGTGTAATAAATTAAATTAAGTATGATTTTTGAAATTGGAGATAATAGTTATGTATGGGTTCCAGGCTTGATTTTTGACGCCCGGTGCCACCGAATAATTCTTAATTATTATAAGTCTCAATTTCTCCAGTTTTAGATTTTTATTAACTTAATAAATTAAATTAAGTATGATTTTTGAAATTGGAGATAGAAGTTATGTATGGGTTCCAGGCTTGATTTTTGACGCCCGGTACCACCGAATAATTCTTAATTATTATAAGTCTCAATTTCTACGCTAAAAGGCTCTACATTTTACTACGCTAAAAGGCTCTACATTTTACTTCGCTAAAAGGCTTTATATTTTACTTCGCTAAAAGACACTATATTTTACTACGTTATAAGGCTATACAATATGAACATAACATCAACAATACAAATAAACAAAATAAATAATATTATTTAACACAAACAATCAAGTAGCATTTTTTGTCACAAACATAACATAAATTCGGATATCAAATAAATCAAACCGGGTATATAAAAGAAACAAAATTAAACACTAAGATAACAAAAATTCACATGGAAACATACTAAACAATACTAATGCATGATTATATGAGTTTCGACATAAACTAAATTGAAATACCTCGATGTAAATATTATTGAAATCGAATTTTTGCACCCGAAACACGCAATCCAAAACTTCTTTTGTGTGTGGGACCTACACTTCTTGCTCTTTATGGGACGGATGGGGCCGAAAGTTTTTTTTTTTTAAATGTAGGCGGGGTGGGGGACCAGAAAACTTTGAGTTTGATTTTTTAATGGAGATCGTTGTCTGTGGGAAGAAGACGACCCGTTTTTATTAGGGCAATTCATAGTTCAGTACAACGAATTGTAATTCGCAGTACTGTACTACGAAATGTCATAAAAAATTAATTTTTTTTAAAACTGCGAAATGCCTTAACGGCAAAAAATCCGTTAAGCCAATTCGCAGTATAAAACTGCGAAATACCCATTATTGTATCTTTTTTTTTTAACATCAAAAATGTATTTTATGTTCAAAAAATTATTAATTAAGTTTTGGACTCGCGCTTTTTCCCCCTCTTTGTGGTGGAATAAGTGTTTGATAGTCGGAGCTTTGACTTAAATCCCCTCCTTTTCTCTCTCAGCTGGTGATTGTGTGTTAATGAGACCATCAGATTCTGATAAGCCACCGTATGTGGCAAGAGTAGAGAATATTGAGGCTGACCATCAAAACAGTGTGAAGGTACGAGTACAATGGTACTACCGTCCTGAGGAGGTTGCTGGTGGTTGCAAACAGTTCCCCGGGACAAAGGAGCTGTTTTTGTCAGATCACTATGATGTGCAGAGTGCACACGCTATTGAAGGAAAATGCAAAGTGCACTCATTCAAGAACTACACCAAATTGGAGAACATGGGCCCTAAGGATTACTTCTGTAGGTTTGAGTACGAAGCTGCCACAGGAGAGTTTACTCTTGACCGTGTTACTGTGTGAGTTTCTCATTGCTTTGTTGTGAAAGTTGAAAGTGGTTAATTTTGGTGGTTGGAATGGTAAGCTTGTACTGTATACTTACGTTGATTTGGATATATTTGGATGTGTTGATTTTGAAGGTATTGCAAGTGTAAGATGCCCTATAACCCAGACGATCTCATGGTACAGTGTGAAGAATGCAAAGACTGGTATGCATACACTGATTTTTTAATAACGTGTATCACTATTGAATGCGTGTCACTATCAACTTTGTAGAACTTGCATTGCCTCTTTTCTTTAACGAATGTAGATATATTTTTGTCGTTATTGTTGTTATAATTATTGTTTCTTTATTGAACTATGTATGTCATATTGGTTTTTCTTTTAGAAGATATGTGAGTAGTTCCAAAGGCAATCGTTCAGTGGTATGGACATAGCACCTGATGTGTTGAGTGAGGCGTACATCATGGGTTCGAACCCTGCCGTAGACGAAGTTTGGTATTTAAGTTGGAAGGATGGAAGCCCAGAGGGGTAATCTCTAGTTCTTTACTAAAGAGGGTAAGCGAGACATAGCCTACAAGCTCATGCACAAATTGATGAGGAGATGTACAGGATGAGCATTTTGTAAATTCTTGTTTACCACGAGGGGGCAAGACCTAGTTGAGAACCAGGAAAAAAGCGGTGCCCGGATGGCACCCACTTTGATTGATTGTTTTGAAGTGAAGGGCTTTTGCCTACTAATGAGTACTGATATGCGGTCTTAGTATTAGAAAAAGAATTAGCAGGGGTATGGACAAAGTCTTCAATGAATACCGGGAATTAGCGAAATATTACTTCTTCCTGTTAGTTCAAGCATTCCTTATTTCTCTGGTATCGAAGAAAAAAAAGTAGAAGAAGATACATGAGTAAGTATTATTGAAACAAAATGCAATGTTGTTACTGTTTTAGGACTTCTGTGGGAAGCTATAAGATAGGCCTTCTTTGTTCCCGAAAGTTCTCGCATGGTAAAGAAAAGTAGGTCTTTATCTGTAGTTATTCCTTAGTTCTTACATGAAGTTTTGTCTTTGCCTATATAATATAATTAAGAAAATGATGATCAATCTAAAATTGTGTGCGTGTGTGCAATTCTTGTAATTCTGCGTGTGTGCAATACTTGTAATTCTGCGTGTGTGTTTTTTGTATCTCGATTCATTCCTAAAGGGATGAATTTTCGATATGGGATGCAGTTAGATCTCAAGATGCAAAAGGTGGTATCAGATTAAATTTTCTATAGAACCTAAAAAGGAATAGCAGACTTCATTAGTGTCGACTGTCCAGAGGAAATATAAGATCCTTATGTGTCTGTAATGTCATTTACTGGTATTGAGTGAAAGTCTGCGGCACTCTTCAGGGTCCTGAATGCTAGCAAGGCCTGAGTTGGCCATCAAGTTTGTTAAACCAACCGTCTGTGTGATGATTGTTCAATCACTATGACAATGACTAAGAGGATCTTTATTTATTTTATGTACAATTTATTGCAGGTTCCATCCCTCTTGTATGGGAATGACGATTGAAGAAGCCAAGAAATTAGACTATTTCTTGTGTTCTGACTGTTCATCAGAACACGATGCGGCACAACCTCTGAATACAGTCCATGTTTCACCATCTCGTGAGCTAAAGGTAAAAGGCCTGTTGCTTAGTCTTGTTAGCCGTTGATATGACTGTCTTTATGACTATTTAGGGATATTGTATCTCCAGTCAGTGGCCTTTTGCTCTTTCGGGGGGGGGGGGGGGGGGGGCTTGAATGATGGTATGTATGTTTAGTCAAAGTGATATCTAATGTAGTATATGCTTCATCCTAAAAGACTTAGTGGTGCCTAACGTCGATTCGACTTTCCTTTTCTCAAAAAGGTTATTCTTCATCCCTGAGGACGGAGAACAATGAGTATTGTTCTTGCACCAGAGTTCCATGTTTTGTTTGATAACTGAGTTTCGTGTTAAGTCATGTTGATCTATACTGTGTCATATTAATGGTAGAATCCACTATCAAATGACCAAATTAAGCTGGTGTTTGATCTCTTCTTATTTGGGTGCTGATAACGCTTAAATAATTGCTATTGTCTTTTAGTTGACTTCCCTGGATCCGAGTGCTACTACTTGCTTGTTAACTTTGTTTTCTTGTGCTTCTTTTCAAGGTACCAATCTTGGGTGCACTACCTCCAAATCCCAACCCACTCATGTTTCAAGGTAGGCATGAGCAGAATGAGCAACTTAATCAGCAAGGACAATCCCAAATGGATGGTTACATGAGTGCTATTGTACCACCACGCATTGGGGCTGCCAGTTTTAGCTTGAATCCAGTTTTGTTAGAAATTTTGAAGGACGAACGTCTATTTGGTGGGCTTCACCATGAGGATCCGTATCGTCATTTGCGGAATTTTCTCGCAGTATGCGCGCTTCAACATCAGTATGACGTTTCTGAGGATGCTCTTCGGTTACGTTTATTCCCTTTCTCACTTCAAGGGGAGGCTTCAGATTGGTTGGATAATCTTCCAGCCATGTCTATCTATACTTGGGGAGAGTTAACAAAGGTATTCCTTGCAAAGTACTTTCCTCCCGCTAGGACAGCTGAATTGAGAATGGATATTCTTCAATTCAAGCAGAAACCGCATGAATCATTGCATGAAGCATGGGACAGGTACAAGCTTTGCATAAAGAAATGTCCTAATCATGGGTGTCCCGATCAATTACTTTTGGAAACCTTCTACTTGGCTTTGGATAAAGTTACAAGGTCCGTGGCGGATAATGCAGCAAATGGAGCTATCATGAATCTCTCGGTTCAAGATGCGAGAGTCATATTAGATAGGATTTCGGATAATGCTCATGCATGGCATACATGGGAGAGGGAGGACACTCCCACAGCAAGTACGGCAAGTCAAATGGCAAGGGATGACACCATGGCGCAACTTGTGACTCAAGTGGGGCTTATTTCCAAACAACTTGCCGAGATGGGGGTCAAGAAGGTCAATGTGGTTGATGCCACAAGGGGACAGTTTATTAATTCTTTACCCAATGTGTGTGCTCATTGTGCAGTGCAAGGAGTGACAACCCAAGAGCATTGCCATCATTCTCCAGAGGAGGAAGCGAATTATGTTGGAAACTACGAAGGTGGCATGAATCAAAGGGGTAATTATCAAGGTGGTCGTCCATCCCAATCTCAGTGGCGACCACCCCAACAATGGCTAAACAATCAAGGTTGGAATCAAAACACTCAAGGAGGTAATTGGGGAGCCGGTACTTCACAAGCATCTAATGCACTAAGGCCCTAAGTTGCTCGGACTTGGGTGCGGGTACCCGACCCGAGTATCGGATTCGGGGGTGCGGATCCGGATATGGATATGGGTGTGGGAATTCGGCTAATAAAAAATAGAGCTATAAAAATATTGTAAATTTTGAGAGATATAATGTGAAAAACATACATGAATATTGTAGAATTCAATCTTTCATTCTCCAAGATGGACATTATTCTTTCATTCTCCTAAATCTGTTTTATTTTTGATTTTGAGAAATAAAAATCTCAATTTTTCTCCCAAATCTATCGATGGACTCCAAAGTGTCCATCGATGCAACACTTGAAGACTTGGGGCAAGTCCAAAACACTGAACATTAGGCCCCAAGGTGCTCTACCAAGTGATACCATTGCTAATCCTAGGGGTGATTCAGGAAATCAAATTGGACGGAATAGTTGGATGTTTGGGTTAGATGTGAAGCTGGATGTATGACGAAGAGCCTCAGAAAGCTGATCTCAAGAGTCAAGACTAGTAACTCTCCCCGCTAGATTTGCAATATGTCTGGTTAAGGAAGATACTTGGTTTATAGAACTGTTTTATATGAGGTGTGAATTCATTAAGTCGTAAACTAATGGAGATCTTTTCATCTAGTCAGTTTGAGTTAATTGACAATGCATTTCGAGGTCACGACAGCATCCTTGTGTGATGGCTTCACGACATATCGAGCTGGTTGTACAGCTAAAAAAAAGTTGTTTGTGCAACTTAGCTTGATTTATATGTTAAGTAGCACTCTTGTTTTATATACTCTATACCATGCCTTGTGAATTTTAGGCTCAATATCTAACATTTGCAGCCATAAGAATAGAGCTGAGCAAATGCGTTGAATATGTGGTGTATAAAATTCAAGAGATAACCGTGCCTTCCCTAAGGAAAGATGGAAGAAGGACAAATTTTCAAATAATTTTTAAAATTTTGGGTATCGGTACTTCTTAAAATAACAATTTTTCGTAATAGAAGTACAGAACTCTAATATTTTGTAAGATAATATCAAGGCAAGTACAAAAAGAAAAGATTTTTGTGACTCCACTTATTCATATAGTTTATCTCAAAACTTGGCAATTTGTAAAGCCTAACTCACCCACGACGCAGCAGTTAGTTAAGTTTGTCTTTGATTCAATCAAGCTGTAATAACCTCCATTTAAATTTGTATCAGAATTATGAATATGTCACATTTAGTTGAAGTTGAAAATTGAAATTGAGGGACAAATTTCTCTTCTGTCTACGTGAAAATTGAATGAGGTCCAATTCCTCGGGAAGAAAAATACTACTAGGTGATTTCTTCTCATTTGCCTAAGCCTTGATAGACACAATTAACCGGTATTAGTGCCTCCAAAAGATAGCAGATAACAGTCGAGGTGGAGCAAGCTGGCTCAAATAACATTGTCAGGGACGGAGGTAGAGGGGTGCAAGGGTTCAATTGAATCCCCTTCATCGGAATTTATACAATGGAATAATGAAAATAGAGCAAAAATGATAAATTCCCCCCTTATAAATAAGGTGTTGAATCCCATTGACACAGGATATACTTTTTGAATCCCTTGTTTGGATCCTAGAACCTAATACGTATATAAAGAGAAATATCACACATTCCATTGTAAATTGAATACAATCCTATAATACAAACTCTGGCTGTTTAAGCTACTACCAAAAAAAAAAACATTTAAACTTCCTGTTTCTCTGCAGCATCAGGATTCTTTTTCGTGTTGTCAACAGTCGTATCTGTCCAATTCTTGAGCTCTTCTTCCGAATCTTCAAGACCGCTAAGGTTCTGCACCTTGTATTGGTGTCTCATTGAAAAAACTAGGAAAACCAAGTAATTGATTATTCCTAGCACTGCTAGCATCCAGTAGAAATAGTCCAACCTACCGTTGTTCAAATTGTTTTTTAGCCAGCTCGCATTTGTTACCTTATGTACAAGTGAAACTAGCAAGCTACTGATAAAAAATCCCATTGATAGTGTTGTAAGAAATAAGCCTGTGCTCATAGATTTCATCCCTTCTGGTGCCTCCCTTATGAAAAACTCAAGCTGACCAACATAGGCAAACGCTTCTCCAGCGCCGACAATGAAGAACTGAGGTATTAACCAAAATGCTCTTATGCTATAATTATGTTTTACGGCATTTTCCCTTCTTTGTTTTTCTACTATAGCTGCAGCTATCATACCAGCAACGGATAGTATTAGTCCGATTCCAACCCTTTGAAGGCTTGTGAGTCCTTGTCTATTGCCTGTGATTTTTCTAGCAATAGGTACAGTAACTCTTTCATTTATGGAAGTAAACAAGAGTATCGAAATAAAGAGAAAGACGGAACAGGACCCCGCTGGGATGCCAAATTTGCCAACTTGTCTATTCATGAAGGTAGCTTGCTCGATGCTGAAGGTATTCATCTGTGAATAAACTGTCCAAAAAAGTATGCATGTGGACCATATCGGTATCAGCTTAAGTACCATTTTCACTTCTTCAACTTGAGTAACTGTTGACACTATCCAAGGGTTGTTTCTATTTTCATTTGCAGCTGTATATTCATCAAGAATGGCTGCCTTGTCGAAGCACCTGTATGATAACAAGAACACACTGATTAGCTTCTATATGAAAATCAAGAAAACATGCTTCTAATTTGCTATGTTGGTTCATTTTCTTCTTGCTTTCATCCTATAAAAGTTCATTCAGTTAAAATCTAGTTAAAGATGTCAAATTTTACAGAACAAAGTTTGATTCGAGTGTCAGAGGGTATATTTAAGTTGAATATGCCTTTCTTGTGATGCCTATTACCCATTCTGTGATGCTATACTATGTAGTTTTCCCCTTTTCGGGCAAGTTACACATTTGGCCTGTCGGCCAAGAATAATTACATTTGCTAGCCAAACATACAAAAAAACATGTGTATTATGTATATATTATACATTAATATACGTAAATATACATTTTGCCGGCTATTATTTTTAGGAGCGGCTATACTGTGTAATTTTCCTCCTTTTTTTTCCGTTTCCCTATTCACTGGCCCATCCTTCTCAAAACTTTACTAAACGATAAGTGTGAAAAGCTCAAGCTAGGTATAATTCCCTAGTTGTTATTGTTATGCATTGTTAGATCATGCTTACCTTAGCATTTTTGTATGTGGGACTTTTGCATTGTGATATTCATTCAAGAAGCCAGGATCTGAAGGGTAAGAAAGCTTTCTCTTTCTCCAAGCCAAGATCAAAACTCTCCATATAATAGTCAAAGGACTTCCCTCTGGCTTCTTGAATCTGTATAACGATGTTCCACCGAGCAGTACAGCTACTGCTATGACCATTGTACCAGCCGATATGCCGTATCCCCATCCTCTTCCTACATTGTCTTGTATATACACTAACACTGTCACTGCAAACAAAGATCCAAGGCTTATGCAGAAGTAGAACCTGTTGAAGAAGTATATCATAGCTTTGTTCTCTTTAGGATTTGATGAATCAAATTGGTCTGATCCAAAACCCGAGACACTGGATTTGATTCCACCACAACCAAGTGCTATGGTATATAATGCTGCAAAGAGGAGAGCAAGTTGCTGGCCGCTAGCTTCGATGCAGTGACCTTTCGATCTTGAGTCACACACAGGCGGCTTCATACTTGGAATGGATGTTGCAAGTGTCAACAGTGTTACTCCCTGGTTATAGACACATGCAAAACATATTAGGTGAGTTTTATGTTTAACAAATGTCTTGCTTAGTTTCAAAGTGTTAGAAGACATAATTAAAAGTATGCTTTTTCTAACAGTTTAAATATTTAGATGAGATTTATCACTCAATTCGTCAAGAACACTATCTACATAGAAGTATGACGAGTTTTTTAATCCAATTAACATATTTGTGACTGACTCTAACATAGAATAGGTAAGGAAAGTGCCTTAGGCCCCCAATTTTAGGGGGCCCCATTTTTTAGGAATAAGGAGTATATTTTATAGGTAAATTTATGTATATAGTACTTTTGTACTTCTCATTTAAAAAGAAAGAAAAACTTTAGATATATTAATAAATTAAAGTTTAAAATAGTAGGAAAATAGTTGTCACTTTGATTTTATTTGACAACTCTACTTTTTATTCTTCCAAGTAATCCCTAGCCAACGTTTCAATTCTAGTGCTAGTACCATTCATTCTTCATATTCCAGAAGACATATCTTCTTCCTTCCTCTCTATTCATCATTCATGCTCATTTTCTTAATTCTTTCTACTGGATTTCTTTCTTTCTCCAAGACTCCAACAAGCCAACAACTAGATATTTTGGAATCAAAGTCTTCAAACTTCTTGAATCAGTTAGTCATTGGGTAATATCATTCTAACTTTCTAGTATTATTTTTATTTGTTATTTATTATTTTATTAACTTTACTCTGTACATATTGTTTAATTTTTTTTTACAATATAAATATGTCAACAAGAAAATATGCATATGATTATTCAAAAATACAAAAGAAAAGAAAAGTTGAAAATTTAATACAATCTCAAAAAGGAGCTCTTAACAAATTTTTGACAAACAATGAAAAATAAAGCCCCATATTAAACTTTCGCCTTAGGCTCCATATACGCTTGAGCCGCCCTTGCTTATAAAATAAAGTAACATAATTTAGTTATCTACAATTCAACATGGTATCAGAGCAGACAGAGGTCGTATTCTAGTCTTACTATCATTCATTATTAAAAAGAATTTTCACGTATTTTTGTTATGAAAAAGAATTAGGTCCCACGTGAGTGGCGTGTTGAAAACATAAGTAAATACTAAGATATATGACTGCTTAAGCTTTTAGTTGGCATATACGCAATTCAACAAATTGAAGCAGGTAAGTTTATATGTAATTGATTTAAGCAAGATACAAAAAAGGGCAGTCCGGTGTACTAAGCTCCCGTTATGCACAGGGTCGAGGAAAGGGCCGGACCACAAGGGTTTGTCGCACGCAGCCTTACCCTGCATTTTTGCAAGAGGTTGTTTCCACGGCTCGAACCCGTGTTACTGTTTTCTTTCAGATTATGTGTTGTTTGCTTAATTAAATACACTTTTTCCATTTCAGACATTCCTGTATTATGGAATTTTTCTATATATAATTGGCTCTAGATTCTTACCACAGCAGCAATGGAACCAAAGATTGCAATAGTTCCATAACGGCCGAGTTTAGCATCTGCCAAGAAACCACCAAGGAGGGCAAGAAGATTGAGTGTGCCCATGAAATTTGTGACAATGTTGGCAGAATCAGAGGATGGAAGATGTAAATCTCCAACCAAGTATGTCACTAAATTCATTGATAACCCCATAACACATATTCTTTCTGATAACTCTGATCCTGTAACAAAAAAAATTAACTTTGAGACTATGAAAAAACAAACATAATATGTTATACTCAAGAAAAACAAAGTTAACCTCATGGTAATGAGAACATACCTAAGATGAGCCCTGCACCAAGCCATCCTCCAGTACGAGATTTATCAACCGGATTTCCTCGAAAATCAACTAGAGTGCCATTAGCTGAACCATCTTTTTCCTTATGGTTGTCAACCAAAACCTGTAAATGATTTAAAAGAAAGCTCACATAAGATACCTAAGCACAGTGGCGACGTCAGGAATTTTATAAAGGGCGTTCAAGATTTAATATATATCAATAGAAAGTAATTTTTGACTTATATACATAGTATGATTTCCTATATCCTAGTGTAATTTTCTGATGACGGGTGTTCAATTGAACACCCTTCATTGTACGTAGCTACGCCACTGCCGAAGCATGAAAACATATATATCCTATAATGGAAGAGATAATAGCTTAGTTTAGCATATTACCATTGTTGTGGGATTGTATTCACTAGGGAGAAATATATAAGTGCAGGATAGTTAATTTGAGGAAGGAGGAAGGGAAGAGGTATATATATATAAGTGCAGGATTTTCTAGTGTAAAGCAAAAAGTGAAAATGAATGATTAGGCCAAAAGTTGGAAAAGGTAGGCATTAGCAACAGAATGCCATGTTAAATATCTTGTAGATCAGTAGGTAACTGACTGATTGCAGGTGCTAGATTTTATGTGGAAGGATCATTATGTGGTCAAAAAGCTTACAATCCACTGAGAAATATGATTGATATAATGTCACTTCTTGGATATGAAAGTGTTTCTTATCTCCACAAAACAGTACCACTATGGGACCATGGTTATCTCAAATACATATAGTGAGTTTCAGGCTTTGGTATTATCTCAAAATAAGTTATACCATGTGAAAAGTGAGCAAACTAACTTTACTGGAAATTTTATTCAGTGTAAGGTTATAGGGGCGAAGACTAATCACCCTTCGTCGGAAATTTACACTGCGTATATAGGTAAAATATTAGGTTTTAGAGGTATAAAATATATATTGAACACTATTTGTCGGAGAAATTTTTTCACCTTTTTCAAGTTTGAACACCCTTGAGGAAATTCTAAGCTTCGCTACTGGTGGGAAATTGTTGAATTCCAATAAGAGAAAATCCTCATTTAAGTTGGTTCTTTTGAATTTAATATTGATTGGGTAGGACTCGGACTCACCAAAAATGTCTCCAAGTGCACGTTGGATCCTTTAAAAGTAGTATATTTTTGGAGGATCTGATAAGGATGCGGCGGCAGTTTTGGAGAATCCGTGCAACATCCGTGCAGAAATAAAATGTAAAAGAGAGGAGGGTCTTTGATGGAATTGAAATGGTAAACCTATTATGTAATAGAAAGTGAAGTTACAACTAATAGATATGTCACCTCTGTGCTACGAGACAAGTGTGAATTTGGACAGAAATTTTTAGTGCAGTAATCTCCAAAAGGGATGCCGACTAATTCTTGAATGCATGTAACCTTATCCCAAACATAGTGAATCTTTCCAGTAACAGAAAGCATATTATGTTGCACATGGTGGATGATTTTTCATGTCTTGATTTTGGTCCACCACCATATATGTATTCAGAGGCTTCTCAGCAATCTCAAGTCGATATACAATAATAACTGGACCACCAAATCGAGTTTTGAGTAAAAATGACACCAGGTAGCCACTCTAAATGTTGTTATTTAGGAATTAGCTAATGTCCTGAATTTCAATTTTCTAGTTCCATTTTGCAGGACACAATTGTCCTCAACTATTTTGAAATTAAGATTTTCATTTTAAATTTTCAAGACAAAAAATAAGTACTGACAATCCCTAAATAACAGCCTAAGAATGGCTGTTTGTGTACTTCCCTCTGGGTTTTGAGCTAAATATTTTTATACATTTAATAAGTTTCTTAATACTAATATATATAGGACATGGACAAAATTACTGAGTTCACGTAAACTCTGGTTATCTTTTTTCCTTTTTCTTGGCCAAAAGTTTTTTGTCTAGGTATGCCTAATATCTCTCCTTTTCCTTCTCTCTAGTCCTACCACTCCTAGTCATAGACCCCCAAACACTGCACTCGGGTCCCTCTGCAAGTAGCAAACATGACACATATATAATGCTATATTTAGTTCATGAAATAGCAATATGGCATTTTACCAAAAATATCAATCCTGTTATGTTTTTCCTATTTTGAAATAAATGACAATTATTGAATCTATTATACGCAGTGCATAGTTGGCAGCTGCTTCATACAAAAATTGAGCCTAATTATAGGTAATGCATAGTTGGTAGCTGCTTCTTAAGTTGGATGGTGATCCCAACCTAAAGCAAAAATTGGCTATATCATACATTAGTTGCATGTTTCTTTCCTACTTTTATGAGTAGACTGTGTCTTTACTATTTCCTACTTATGACAAATTTTATGTGGGATGATCACCTCCAGTGCCTCAACTATTCAAGTTGTTCGCTATTTGTCCTGAAATTTCATTATCTAGCAAAGGCGGCACGCAAAATCTAGAATTTGAAGTCGGTGAGTGTGACTGTTACTTTGTGATAATAGTTTTGATTATGAACTTAATACAAATATATGTGTGTTAAAAAAGCAATTATTTAATATCTATCTATATAGCGATCAAACCGCCACAAACAGTGAGTGAGATTGTTGCGGCCGCTCCTCAATTAATACTAAATCTCTCTAGCAGGGCTATTTTTATACTCCTATTTGAGTAGACTGTGTCTTTACTATTTCCTGCTTATGACAAACTAGCTTTTCTGCACGTGAGTTGCACGTGTATGTCCGAGTCTGTAATATACGATTTTTAAAAATAATATCAGTATTATTAAAGAAAATATTTGAGTAAATAATTATAGATGAGAAAATAAAGTATATATTGAATGATCAATGTTATTTATCGTATACTACTTTGTTTGTCTAGGTCATATGATTGGATCGTCTGAACCTACGAAGATAAATAATTAATATTTAATTAGATACATGTGATTTCAGCAAAAAATCTCCCTATAAAGTAATAATTATATGATATAGTTGTATTTTAAAATTAAAAATTGCATAAATTACATTATCTTATTTATATAGTACAAAAATCTAATATTTTTCATGAAAATTTATGTAATTTTAACTTACTTTTTATTTGTAGCTATTATCTGTCTTCCTCTACTTCATGTCTTCATCCTTCTCCATAAGTAATATTATTGTTACTAACATGAAAATTATATATGAAAACTATGGGATTAAATTAGTGATAAGTATAAAGTAATTATATTAAAAAATAATTTTTTTTGCCTCTTCCAAGGATAAGTCATTTGATTTTGGAATGTCATTGTCAAATTCTTTTTATATAGGCATTGTTAGTAAAAGTCATTTCGACTTCTCTGTGCACTGAGATCGATCTATTATTTTATATGAATGAAGATTTCAAACAAAGAGTCAGATATTTATACATATCTTTAATTATTTTCTTCTACTTTTGATACCCATACAAAAAATTATGTCTTAAATTTTTAATACATGGACCTCATTATACATGCAGAAAATGTATATTCCATGACATTATAATAGAAATAGGTTTTAAAAAATGGTCTCTTTAGTATTAATCATGTAAAATATAATATTTTCTTGATTAATATAATGATTTTTTTACAAAACTACTAATTAGGTATTTCAAATATAAATTTTTTCTAAGGAAAAATGTATGTTATTAAAGATATTACTTTTGATTATATACCATTCATGGAGTCACATGTCATGGAAGATAAAGTATTAAAATAAAATAAACTTGGTAAAACTTGCATAGAATTATGAAACATGTGAAAATTATAGAATCTCTGGATAAATACTAAAGCGATACTCACAAGTAATTAATTGTAATGAGATTTGAGAAAAGCAAGTCTGCAAAGATAGAAATAATATAGATTGGTGTTCAATAAACCCTCTATGAAATCAACTCTATTTGAGCACTATTTGTCCTGAAATTTCATTATCTAACAAGGCGACATGCAAATCTAGCATTTTAAGTTGGTGGGTGTAGCTGTCTGATAATAGGTGAATTTAACTGTAATTACGCCTTAAATAACCACCTTCTTGTATAGTTTTGATGATAAAAGTGATAACAAAATGCTCTTATTAGTGTTTTTCATGATTTGCAGGTGATATATGATCAGGGAAGGCTAGGGAGTATTTTTGGAGTCAAAAATGAAGAAAAAGAGGCCAACTGTGAAATTCCCCAAGTAAACCACGCAAAACAGGCCTGAAGATTCAGAGAATTGTGTCGACCGCGGTTCCACCGCGACCGCGGTAGAACCGCGGTGGAAGAGAGCTGCGGATAAAATGAGATTCAGAGAAGGCATTTGGCCGCGGTTTGACCGCGACCGCGGCAGAACCGCGGCGGAAGCAGAAAACTTCAGGGACTAAACTGTAAAACACGGGATTTTTAGGCCTAATCCTATTTTAAATACGAGACTTCGCCCAAGAGAGGCATGTATTGAATTTTAGAGTATCTTGGCAAGGAAAACAATTGTGAGAGATCACCCAAAACATCTTTCTTCTTTTCTTTGATTTTTATTGCTAGTTATGATGAATTCTATCTTAGTTTGTTTTCCCATAGTCATGAGTAGCTAAATCCTTTGTCTAAGGCTTTGATGGAACCTATTGGGGGATGAACATCTTGTTTATGTGAATACAAATTGCTAGTTTCAATCTCTATTTGTTCAACTTTGTGCTTGTTGTAGTTAATTGACAGGATCCTCAATTAGCTTTGCCTAATTAGTGTGCATAACTTGGAAAAGAGTGCATATTTAGGTTATTGTTGAACAACACCACTCCCAAAGTATAAGAGGAATCTATAATTGCGGGTTTAAAGGCGGGATTAGGGATGACGAAGCCTTGGGTGTAATCTAAAGTGAAATGTGCAAAATAAAGTAAGCTAGTGTATCTCGGGAGAGTGCAATTAGTATATTACTGTGATTACTCGGGAGAGATTTACGGTAAGATGAGCGTTCATGATTGATAGAGATGTGTTGGTAAATTTGTATGAGCATAAATAGAAGGGATTCCTTCAATAGGGGAAATCATTGCCTTAGCTTCTTCTCATCATTGTTTACAACCTTAGCATTTTAATTTACAGCTGTTTAATTTATTTGCAATCGTAGTTATTAAAGCGACCTCCAACCGTAATTCAAACATCTGGGAAACTGGTTCCGAAGAGTTTAGTGGGTCTAAAGATAGTGATTGATAGGTTAACTCTCTGTGGATTCGACCCTGGGCGTAATACTCGGGTTATATTTGCAACGTCCGCAGAATCCATTTTAGAGGGCATAGTTGGGCGTAATCAAATTTTTGCTCCGTTGTCGGGGAGTTAACGGAATTATCAATTACCATTGATAGAAATACAAAAATTCTTAGTGTGGTCAGTTTTCTCTCTACCCAATTTTTCATTGAAATTTTGACGGTTGTTGATCTGGTTGCACAGGTGTATGCCTAGAAATTCTACGAGGACTGGAGAACTACTTGAAGGACTCTCAGACCCCGAAAAAACATTCCGGACATTGAATCGTGCCAACAAAAGACTTCAACAATCCCAACAAACACACAAATTCGAAATTGACATGGGAGACGTAAATGATCCCAACGGAAACATCAGGAATGAGCAAGTTGGCTTAAATGCCAGAGAAGTGGCACCTCCTGTGCCTGAGGGTGCACTATATGACTGGGCACAAACCACAA